TATTAGTTAATTTAAATTCTATTTTTTATCAATCTTATAATAAGAAATATAATAAAGCACTAATAGTCCCATCACTAATATTTATGTTAAAGAATTATTTCAATTTGTAGAATATAGAATACAAAACATATTAAGAAAATGATATCACAACACACCCACCATCAATGTCTTGGAAATAATATTAAATTTCTCATTAATTTAAAAATTTAAAAGCTATAATATTTTTTTTAAATTTAAAAAAAGCTGTTAAAGTTTATATATTTCGAATAAGAATTTCCAAAAACAATTATACGTACGAGAATTTTAAGAGTATATATTTAAAACCCTTTTTATCGTCATGTTCTCATATTTTTCATTTGAAAACCAGTTTAAGATGTTATAATTTTCTATTGTTAAATTTTTTTGAATGAGCATATCGAATTTAAGATAGAGATTAATAATCACAGTTTATACACTTATTCGCAATATCTTATTCCAAAATAATCATGTATACGTTATATATACAAATATTTATTATCCGTTTATAATATTGGAAAACAAGCTCGTTATCTAACTCTGATAATGAAATTGTGATCGTCTGTTTCAGCAGCGATAGCTTTATAATAGAATATTTAAGATACATCTTAAATAAACACAAATTTATTGGTTTGGTCTTCGAAAAAACTTAGATTTATTGCGGTTAATATGGTCAGACAGCTCGTACACCCTTTGGGTTTCTCGTGCCTTTTTGTCTAGTTTCCGACAAAATTTTGTAATAATGGAGTTGACTATGAACAATACATACCTACTTATACACTATATTTTTTTAATAAATTGGCTTGAACACCCCAAACTTGTATGTCTAACAAAATGAAATGTAAATTATGATGCAATATTGTGGTTTAAACAATGCTTTATCAATTTAACTGATTACTATCTAATTATATTATTGATATTTTTAATTAAGAAAATTTGCAAGCGAAAAATTGCTAAAAAAATTATTTGCACTAAAAATTAAAATCTATCTATATTTATTAAATATTCCATATAAAATAAATTTTTAAAACAAATTTCAATGACCGTGTAGAGCAAATAAGAAATAAATAAAATTTGAAGAGACTTGATAAATGAGCACATTATTTCAAAAAGTCTACGCCAAATTTATAAAGTAATTATTGTGAATATTTAAAGTGTGGCCACACTTCTAAATATTATATCAGATAAATGACTTTGCCAAAATAAAATTGTCATTCTAAAAATTTATTCTTATTCTAGTATCCAAAAGAATATCAAAATTTCAAAGATTGTTTGATAGGTGAGCCTAAACTATAAAAAACTCACATTCTTTTTCTATAAAATTTAATCATATTTTCTATAAAAGTAAAAAGGCATTCAAAATACTAAATAATATATAAAACAAAGAAAAATTTTCGACCAAAAATAATTAAGTAATTTCGTTTACTTTGCGGTCAGGCGAAACAATTTCATTAGCATAAATTTAATATAAGAAAAAAAAAAACGTTTTTTTTCTAAAACTCAAAATAATTTAGATTGAAATTTTAATTTCTGAGTAATACTTTAATATTGTACGTGTTTATTATACTATTAGTACTTTAGATTTTTTTGAATTAATAGATTTTTTTTATTTAATTTTAAAATAGTCAGACAAATAAATTAAAAACCGTCATAGCCAATAATATTTACAGGTATTCATAAATAAATTTTATTATTTTTACAGTTTAATTACTTTAACTCACAATTTAATGTGGTTTTATTTTAGATATTTAAAATGAAATGAATTAAATGTTAACATAATAAACCGTAAGGAATTATAACATTGCAATGAACAAATTTTATTAAAGTTACTAAAATTCTAGGAATAATTTCAATGAGTAATAAGAACAATCTTCAAAAAAAGCTATTCAAATACTAAATAACGATTCAATCAGCTTTACCATATTATGCCTCATTTCTTCTAGGCATTTCAATGCATTTTAAAATTATTTCAAATCTAAAATACTTTTTATTATTTATCAAAGTAGATATAGTAAAAGTTTTACAAATCCAAAAAATTATGCCGCTCGTTTTACTTCCATTCTATACAGAATTCATGTTCTTTCAATTTTATAATGTTTTCGTTTCTGCCCTGCCCGGTTTCTTATTGTCTGATTCTTTTTTAAATTCCTTGCGTATTTAAATTGTAACAATGGATTAGGTCTGCCTAGTATAAAACCTGGAAAAATTTCAAAAAGGAAAAACAGTAACGTGAGTTCTCGCAAAGAAAAAAAAATTCTGCTTTAAAACACTAAATTTTATTTTACAAGGCTTGAAAAAACAAAAAGCATTACACCAGACGCTTGAATACTTGCACTTATACCTACAGTTTTCAAAAACTTTCTTATTACCAGACAAGCCTATTTAATCGAAAAATGGCATCTTAGATATATGTACATATGCAGTTTAAAAACAAGAAAATTTTTACTGCTCAAAAGCTATCCTGGAAAATAATTCTATAATTTTAATTACTTAATCATATAACATAAAAAATTATATTTATTTTGTTATATTTTGCCCAATTTAACTGTATTTTTTATAAAAAATTAACTTAAATTTTATGTTAAAACAGATAAAATCTTTCCATATAGCACGCATCAGAATTATAAAGACTCACAGATAGTCCTAATACAAACATAAATACAACCTATATATTTATTTATGTACACATAAAAGTTATGTAAATAAGTAATTGAAAACAAACCATAAAAAAAATTAAGGTTTTCATCCACTTGAAAATTTTCGAAAAAAAAAAAATTAAAAATTATTCTTGTTTTTTAACTTGACTATAATTAAATAATTTGGCGAGAAAGAGAGATTATCATTTTTATCATTATTTGAATTATTTTATATTTACTTGTAGTATTAATATTAAAAAAAAAATATTTTTTTTTTCATACATATAATCATAAAGTGGATCAGTGAAAAAACAAAAGAAAAAAATTAAAATAAACCAAGAAATTTTCAAGAATTTAAGCGTTTATGAGTAAGATCTATAAAGAAGAACAGAATTAATAAAATAAAACAAGAGCAACCCAAAAATTTATAAGTTGTTTTATGTTATGATATCATTTCATTGACAAATTCATGTTCTAGACTTTCTATATACATAGAACATCTGTATAGAATAAATATGTGAATAAGCATATGTATTATATACTTATCGCACACACATATTCTATCAAGTAGACAGTTTCTAAAATTACAATAATTTAATGTATGTATATGTACGGGTACATATATTTGCCTTCTTTTTTACTGCCAGATTTATTCCATCTGCCCAAGCTAATCATATCTATTTATGCTATTATATTCAAAATGAAAATATTATATATATTAATGTTATAAATCTATATGTTATACTATAATATATTCAAAAAAAAAAAGAAGTCGAATTAATATTTTGTGTTTTCTTTCAAAAAGTTTAAAACAATTTTTTTCTATAATTTTAAATTATATATACATATATATTTTTTTTTTGTTTTACTTTCGTCGAAATATAAAAATACGACCTCATCTCATTCTGAAAATTTCCTCACTCACAAATAAATCTATATAATATATACATATATTATGTTAAATACTACCTGATATATATACATACATATATTATATACAATTACAAATAACAAAAAAATATGAGGGAGCTCTTCGTTGATTAGGTCTACTTTGGGATATTTACTTTGAGAAACTACATAATTTATGATGATTTGAATTTAATTTTTTTTTTTAAATAAAATAGCGTTTTATAGTGAATTCAGTCCCAATTTAACAAGCTCATTAAAATTTGATTTTTCTATATTTTTTCGACAGAAATCTAATTTTGACTTACATATATTTGAAATTTATATTTGTATTGTAATTAATTGAAAATTTTTGGGGTTCTGTTTTATGTTTTGGAATGATATAACTATGGTATGATACATATATGCTAAGTGAAAAACTGTTATATGCATAATAGTTAAAAATTTTTTAATTATTTATATATAAGCTGATTTAGATTTAAAACTAGTTTTATTAGATATTTAAGCAGAAACTTCGAAAAAGTAGGTTTCATTGAAAATATTTTTTATAAAGGGTAGATAAGGTTTATATTACGTACCTACAAATAAAAGCGTTTTTACAAAAAATATTTCAACTATATGGTTTGAAATATTGTGTTATATTTTAAATTGTTTAATAGTTTATTGCAAAATGCTGCATCAAATCAAACAATTGCATAAATTGTATATGTATAATATGTATATATACATAAATACACATAAATACATAAATCAGAAGAATCGCAGTGTGTATATATAAACAGAAGAATCGCAGTGTGTATATATAAACACTGCGATTCTTCTGATTTCTTTAAAAACATTCCAAATATAAAGGAAACAATTTTTATTTATGATACTCTTTCAAATAAGTACCAAATTTTATTTATGAATATAAAAACATAAACTGATTAACATAAAATAGCAATAAAAGCACAAAAACAACCTGAGAAAAACAGCCGAAAAGCTTGTAAATACTAAACCCACAAAGCTATGCACATAAACTTTTAAACCCATGATACTTGAATCAAAAGGGATTCCAATTCAAAAATGATGATGGTATTTGCTGTTTTTTTTTCTCTTTTTTTTGTAATTTTTCATAATATTATATTTTTTATTTTCTTGTTTTTTTGTTCTTTTTTTTATGAAATAATCAAGCGGAGCGAAGATATTAACAATAATATGTACAAAATTAAATAAAAAGCGAAAATATAAATATAAATAATAAAAATAAAAAACAATACCAAAAAAAAATAATCATTAATATCTTATAATGTACAAAATAAAAAGACAAACCTAACAAACTATTTACCACATTTACTACAAGTGTATATTATTTACCTAGGAGGTCAACGAGTAGCTAGCTAATAAAATAGCTATGAATGAACAAATTTAGTCATATCAAAATATTCTATTTTAGTCAGTCAGTCAGTCTTAGTTGAATTAAATAATAGTTAAGCTTCAGTTGTATTTTGTTAACGCAACAGGTCAGTTCATTATATCGCGTGTATTATATACTCGTATATATATATACATTGTATAAAAATAATAAAATAAAAAAGAAACAGGTGTGTGTGGAAAGAAAGTTTCTTTAAATTAAAAACAAAAAATATTTTGAATTAAAATTTTATTTTGTATTTATTAAAAAAATTAATTTAGAACAAAAAAAAAACATTTATTTACAAATTTATTTAAATTTTATGTTTTTCTTTTTATTTTGTTTCATTATTTTACATTTAAGTAACGGTAATTAAAATATTATTTTGTTACGGTTATATGTACCGTTGCTTATATTTTTTTTTTGGCAAGAGTTGCAGTATAATTTTACAAACAAAATAATTTTATTTTAATATTTTTATTGTTTTTTTTTTGTAAGTATGAGTGTGCGTAGGTCATTAGTACTTTATAATGAGAAAAAAATATTAAGGGTTGCAAAATGTCAAGGAATTTTCAGAATGATGTTATAGAAGTAATAAATTTATTATTTGAGTGTAATTGAAAGTGTTAAGAGCTTATTGACATTAAAAATAATTTTTTTTCGAAAAATTTGTAGCTATAATGAAGTACTTATTTCTTAATTTTACAAAAGTGAGAAAATTTTAATTGCACACAAAATAAAGATTAAAATTTTAGATAAATTAGAGTTTATTTTTTAGAATGTTTTGAAATTTTGTCAACTTCAGCTTAATCAATTACAGATAATTATTTATAATAATTAAGTAGTCATTAAAAAATTGTTTGTAATTAAATATATTGTTTAAATTATGTTCTTGATTATGAGTTACTAGCCCTCATTAGTATGTTAGCATTTTCACTTATTATAAATAAAGAAACGCATCACTGTGCTCGTATTTCTTGGATATCTCTCTTAGAGAAACTATCAATAATTTATGATTATATTTAAGAATTGGGTCAAAACTTACAGTAAAAGGACATTTTTGAAAATACGTTTACGTTTCTAACTCAGAAAAGACTTCAAAATTGCTGTGTGCAATAAATAAATGTTTTTTGCAGTTATTGAAGTACTGCCGCATTCAAAAGCTTTTAATTACATAAAGTACCCAAATAATTCTTCTAAATCTTCCGAAATTTGTAAATCTACGACTTTCTCCTTCTATACAATAGTATAAAAATAAAACTTCGAATTTGCGCTAAATGTTTTAAAAACCCTAGTTTGCAGTTACAATATTTTTAATAGAATAAAACTGAATTATTAAAAATACCTAATTTAAATTATGAAATTGAGAATATTCTAAATTTTATAATTAATTAGATTTAATTTCATTTCACTTTGTGTCATTAATTAAAATTCAATTTGAAATTATAATTAAATTGGTTAGGTAGCAAAAAAATTAATCTATTTACAACTTTTATTTCAATATATGTATAGTTTGATTCATGATTTCATTTAAAATTTAAAAATTTACATAGAACTGTAAGTAGTCTATTAAAAAATTTTGTACCTTTTGATTTTAATTAAAAATTCAAAAGCTTCACCTTTTGTATAAATTTTTGTTATTGTTTCTGTTTTTTTTTTTTGTACTAAATTTAATCAGAGTCTATGGTAAATTATAAATTTAAAGCATTACTAATGATATATTTCCTGAATTAAACCAATAAATTTAATAAACTTCCTTAATTAACTTTTTTAACATTAAGGTACATACATATAATTATTAGCATTTAATGATTAAAGAATTTGAAACTTGAAATTTTTAAAGATTAATTAAAATTTTAGTTTGTAGATAAGGACTACATAATGGTTGCAAACATTTTTTACTTTTCGTAGACATCCTATTTTTGATGACAGGTACAAAATAAATATTTTACAGACCGCACGTGATAAGTTCATTAACGTATGTTTTCGCAGTATAATGTACCTTAATATTTCAAAAATATTGTAAATTTAAAGCTTGCTTAGCTATAAACATTAACGCTGCCAAAAGCTAAATAAAATTTAAAATTAGGTGTTTTATAAAAATTCTAATTGGAAGTAATTACAGTTACAAGTTCTATTGAAAGGCATTGAAAGAAAAAATTTTTAATTAGAAGTGGAAGTTTAAGTAGATAGGTACCGCTAGATCTTTAAAAATTAACTGAAATTATTGAATTAAAAATTGATTCAATGCCTTTCAATCAAAAACAATATTCTGTTTTTAATTGCGTGCTCAGTTGATTCATTTCAACTATTCAATATTAACGTATAGCTTCTAATTTCCCATAAATTCGATGATTCAAATTTTGTACATTTTTCAACTTTTACTTTTTGTATATTTTCTAAAGTAAATAATTAATCAAATTTTAAAAGAAAATGCAAGAATTCCACTTTCTTTCGAATTACCTATGTTAGTTGCTAAATTGTCCATATTATATGTACATTATTCATAATCAAAAACAATGTACTTAACACTTTTAAGTCATATATTATCTTGAATTAGTACAATATCAAACTGATATAAAAACTTAAGTGTTTTTGATTACAAAAGAAGTATTTAACATAATTCCAACACAATTTTAAAATACATAATATGTTTTTACTTAAAAAGGAGACCTTATACAAGTATGTTAAGTGGCTCACCAAAATATTATCATATGTCTATACGCAATTATGAATGAAAACTTAACGTGCAATTTTGTATTTAAAATGTGTGCCTTTACAATGAAAATTGATAAGAATAGAATATTTTTTATATTGTAAATTAATTATAACGATAATGTTATCTTATGATACACATGTTATAGTGAAGATTGTTAAAATTTAGCATATTTATTTTGAAAACAAAAATTAAAAACGAAAAGAAATTCAATCAAAATTCAGCAATAGTCATATAGGGGGGGGACAAATGATAAATGCAAAACGTTCTAATATTTTATATAAAATATTATATCTAATAAAATATAACAGTATTTATTATTTATATCTATTTATAACTTAAATTTCTATATTAAGTTCAAAAAACCGAAATACTCAAATATTACTCAAAAAAACCATATAAACATTATAATAGAAAAAAGACCTACGCATTATTAGAATTGACATAATAATTTTTACTAAATATAAAAATTATATTTTTAGAAAAACTTATGATGTAACACGTGTAATAAATATATATATATATAACATTAACTAACCTAATATATGTATAAAAGCGTAAAATAATATTTGGTAAAATATTTTAATACGTTTGTATATTTTTGGTTAAGTTTGTATGTATATGGATAGAACATTTAATTTTTAAGATAAATTTCAACCTTGAATTTTTTAAGATTCTTGTTTTTTTATTTCTTATAATAGGTCATTAATTATTATTACCCGCTTGGGAAAGATAATCTAGTTTTAACCCTGAAAAAAAATTCAATTGCTATTTTTTTTTTTTTTTGTTTTTTGATGACTCGTTCAAAATGGATGATCTAAAAAAAAAAAACTTTTAAATTATGCTCTAATAAAATACTTGAAGATAAAATTGCTTATTAAACTAAATTCAAATATTTTCACTTCTTTAAAACCTTAATCAATTAATTTATTACTTTAATGTGTTTTAAATTCAATTTAAAAATTTTATTTTTTTAATAATCCATATATGAACAAATTAAAGATTGTTAATCTTAAATTATATTGATCACGATTACAAACCATAGGTTAGGTAAGGTCAGGTTGTCGCGGCACCCCAAAAAGATACACATATGACATAGGTCAGCTAGGCCCGTTGTGGTACCGCCGGATTTCTCCTTTTCCGACTTATAAACTTAGAACTTATAAACACTAATAATTTGATATTTAATTTAATAATTTTAATATTTTAAATTAACGAATAATTTGCATTATTTGCCGTTCTTTACAGAAAATTTATTTCAAAATTTCATTAAAATAACTAAATTTGTAAAAATTACCAATTTATTTTTATTAATATTTAAATTTCAATAACTCTAGAAATGCGACAAAACTTGAAGTAATTTCCTCAACTTATAATAAACTTAAATTTTATATGGTTTTCACAATAACATTACAGAAATCATTTATAAACAAATGAATACAAAATGTTTGCCAACAACCCACCTACGTATAGACCTAGATATTGTAAAGTAGAAAGTATATTTATTAATATTCTTTTATATTTGAAAATTTCATATAAATTGTGTTTTAAAATTAGATTTCACTTTTTTCTTTCTTTAATATAAAGATATTACATTGGTTAAAAATCTTAAAAATAATTTAATTGTATATTAGTCTTCCTAATAATTTTTTATAATTCTTATAACAAAATAAAAAACGAATACAAAAAATATTATTTTTATTACGAGTATTAGTAAAGGTTTTTAAATGTTTTACTTATTTTCTCAATTAAAAAACGCAATTATAAGAATATATGAAATTAAAAAAATCACTGTTGCTAATTAAATGGAAAAAATCTTGAGTGACTTGCAAAAAGTTGAAATTAATATTAATGGGACTGTAAACAATTTTGAATAGATTTGTGTTTTTCTATGAAAAAAAATCCCCCTGACAAACTGCATTATAGCAGCGGGATTACACACATTAAACCAAGAGATTTTTCTCGGGGTCTCAAAGCCCCTTCGCAGGCGAGCCACCGAATCGCATTCACCAAATAAGTGCTTCATTGTTTCGTCCTAATCCAGGCATAGACAGCGGATCCTGTCTTCTGCTCTGCCCAACCTTTTCAGATGGACCATCGAGAGGCAGTGCCCAGTGAGGACATCCACCAATAGCCTCAAATCTGGATGACCATATTTTTCATAAAATAAATTTCAATAAAACTTTGAATTTCTTTTATAAAATTTATACTGATATTTTGATTTAGAACTCTTAACATAATATAGTACTTAAAAAAAATCCCATACTTTTTTTTTAAATTTAAAAATATAAAACTCGAAAGTTCAATCTACCTTTTAAAAAAAAAAGATTTACATAACCCTAAATTTTTCTTATAGAAAATATATTCAAACACTTGTTTGAACCTATTAATAAAAATAACATGCACGAACAACATACAGAAATGTTATCTTATAATTAAAAATTAATTGAATACTTATTAGATACTTATTATTA